TTGAGAGGACAGTTAATGGAGTAATCTCTATAAATTTGCCAATTACTTAGGGACTGAATATTGAGAATGTACTTCCTACTTGATGATTGTTCTTTGATGTGGGAGTGTCATATCAATCTGTTGATTTCATTTGAGCAATAAAGAAACTGCTTGGCTGGCCCTGATAGGGTAAAAGATAGGTGGGAGGAGTAAACAGGAGGAAGAGGAAGTGAGGTCAGACTCTGCTCTGCTCTCAGACAGACTCGACAGCTCTGCTCTCTGGAGCAGAGACACCATGCTTAGCTCTCCCGGGTAGACCCAACAGCTCTGCTCTCTGGAGCAGAGACACCAGGGTCCACTCTCCCAGGCAGGTCTGACCCAGGATGGACAGAGGCTAGAATCTTCCCAGTAAGCGCACCTTGGGGTGCTTACACACATCATTAGAAATGGGCTAGTCCAGGTGTGAGAATTAGCCTATAAGGGCTAGAGTTCATGGGCCAAGCAGCCTTTAAATGAATACAGTTTGTGTGTTGTTATTTCGGGCATGAGCTAGCCAAGCGGCTGGGGTGTTGTGGACGCAGCCCCGCCACTCCTATTTCAACAGTTCTTGTTGTATGTAGTTTCAGTTTTGTTAAATCTGACTAATTGGCTTTCTTTTAGGACAATTATTGATAATAATTGTCATTGTATATAGTTTTATACTTTTAGAGTTTGAAACGTTCTTCTTAATTAAAATTAAAGGCGGTGTTACAGAAGACTGTCAGTGGCCACTAGCCAAAAGAGAGGAGTGTTTTGGTCCAAAAGACAAAGTTTTCATTGAGGACGGACATGAATAAGGAAGAGGCATCTTTCCAAGCCAAGAACAAATAATGGATGGTGTAAGTGGTGACTTCATGACTCAGTTCAAGGTCCTCCCTTTGACCTTTAACATTTCTTCATTAATTTTGTTTGATAATAAATGGTAAACAAATAATTTATCATTCTCTTGATCAAAAAGAAATTATGTATTCATGGAAACTTATACCTTAAGCAAAAGGAATAAAATCATTTATTATTTTGAATGATATTGGTGTTTAAGAAGTTGATCTACATATTTTACTAATAACTCTTTTGACAAGTTTGGCATGCAACTGTATGTTTATGAAAATGCAAAGTGTATTATACACACACAGCTTTAGAATATCATTATGAGATTGAGTTACTATTCTTACATAAAAGGTAATAATTCAGTTTCTCTACCTAAAGTTTTGGAATGACAAATGATAGTGACCAATCCACTAATAAGTGAGATGCAGAATATATTTTTCTGAAATTTAAAGCATATACTCTAATAGGTAGATAGGATAAGCATGTCTTTCATCAAGACCTTGATTCTATTTGAAGACAAAAATACATCACAGGGTCTTAGAAACTGAGCAAGATGATCTAAATATGTCACAGTTTCTAAATATATTTGTATGGGCATAAAATCTTCTATTTAGAAGAGCTGATATGTTAATATTTCATTGGGGCTGCAGAAATGGATCAGCAGTTAAAACTACTTGTTTCTCTTTCAGAGGACCTGGTTTTGGGTCTGAGCATTCATATAGTAACTAACAACTATTTATACTTCTAGTTCCAGATATTCTCCTCTCCTGCATAGGCTCTAAATGCATGTAGTAAACAGTCATTCATGAAGGCAAAATCCATTTACACAAAATTAAATAAATAATTGTTGTTAAATGTTAGACCAATGAAAGCTGACCTTATTGGATCACACTGTGCAATATGAAAGGGCCACATGATACAACATGCACCCCTAAAGTTGCTTTCTGGCATGAAATTGATTCCCTATCAAGAAACTGACAAGAACATGCTGACTCATTTTTACTCTTAAATGGACTTCAGAGAACAGTGGATGCTGACTTGAGTTGTGAAAATACACAAAGTTAAATTGGACTATAATCTGAAAACATACATAGTTTCTTTAAAGTTTATGTAGTTTATGGCAGGTAAAATGAAGTATTTATTTATGTGCTGGAGTATGTGTCTAGGGCTCAAGCATGTCAACAAGTACTCTACTACAGAGTTGTATGACAGCTTTGAAGCTATATTTGTAGGCTACAGGTTACCAAGGATGAGGTATTAGATAAATTATGGAGCAACTGTCTTCAAGCAATATTCCAGCAGGCTTCATAGTTGGACAGATATAAATATGGATATGGATATAAATATGAAGTTAGACATGGAGAAAGGATTTTGACTATGTGGGGAGTTTGGGGGAGAATTGTGAGGACACTCAGGAATGAATAAATCAATGCATATATGTGTGAAATTGTAAAAGTTTTATTAAATATTAGATAAAATTTTTTGAAATAAACAATGATGATAAGATATCGAAGACAAAAAAATATAAGAAATATATTTTCCATGTATTTAGTCTGTTTAGCTTTTTTTCCTCAGAATAATGAAATTGCAGGTATATACCTGAAAACTATTGGCCTAATAAAAATATTTTACCTCTTGAGTAAATTATGATATTTTATTCACAACTTGTCATATATTATTGGAGTTTTTGATTTTTTTTAACCCCTCTCATGCATCCAACTATAAACTATGGCTTTTAGCTTAATGTTATAGATTCTAGATTTTCATGTACATCTGTAAAGTGATTATCTTCTCTTCTTATAAAAGGAGATATTATAGCTATTAGGATTGGTGATAATGTTGGTTTAGATATACAAATCCTGTTAATTAGTAAGCAGAGGATTCTCCTGGAAAGGAAGGCTGTTTGACAAATTATTTAGAATACTGACAGTCATGAAAATTCATGGTTTCATTATGACATGCAGCTTTGTCAATATTGCAGATAAATGTGGTTAGCATGTGTCTATACATATAAATTTTACTGTATCATGGCATATCAATTATACTGTTCTTTCTAATATTAGATTCACGGCCATCCAATTAATTATGCTAACAGTAGTTTAAGTGTCAAAATTTCAGAACGACACCACAATGTCATTTCTTTTCTTTTTTCTTGTGTGTGTGTGTGTGTGTGTGTGTGTGTGTGTTTTCGAGACAGGGTTTTTCTGTAGCTTTGGAGCCTGTCCTGGAACTTCCTTTGTAGACCAGGCTGGCCTCGAACTCACAGAGATCCGCCTGCCTCTGCCTCCTGAGTGCTGGGATTAAAGGCGTGTGCCACCAATGCCTGGCTTCACAATGTCATTTCTATGAATCTCCCACTATGCTACTTCCATGAGCATCACTGTAGTTTACATAAAAAAAAATTGTGAAAGGAGGAAAAGAAGAATATGATCTAGGTAAAATAATAAAAATTTGCACAGAGCATTTAAAAATAGCAAATTAAGAGTCTAAAATTTAAGGTTCTACTATTTGGAAGGTTTAATAATTCCTCAACTTGTGGAACATCTTAACATTTTGTACTTACCTTTCTAGTTAAAATTCAACAAAATTTAAGAATCAATGAGTGATGGAAAGATTGCTCTAAGGTATACATAAATTATTTAAAAAAATTTCATATGCTGATTAGGACCAGGTACACATTTATAAAAATTCTAGGAAGATGAAAATCATGAACATCTGGACCCTAAGAAACCATTGTATTTATAGGACTGTCCAAGTCGAGGAAGAATGTGAATTGGTTGACACTCAAGTGCCCAGAAGAACACCCGCCATGAAAACAGCAACTTCCTAACAGGTAATAGTGAACAGAGAGTGTTACATGTGAGAAAAGAACAAAGAACTCGTTTGCAGGTTCTCCTAGGCAGCTATCCTATAGGGCTCTGGTCAGAAAACACACGTGACATACTAAGAGCATGTTTATGTAGCTTTATCTTTTCATATATATTAATACTGAAAATCATGTCTTATGTGACATCTCCTGTTAAATCAGAAATATCTGGTAAATACAGCAAAATTGTGGGCAGAACTTCAGGGAAGAAGAAAAAAGGGGTCTCTCAAATGATAGTGGACTGATTCATAAATGGAGAAAGTGGGACCTTTTCTAATGAAACTGAATGAAGAGGTTAATAATTGCCATAGGTCTGGCCACAGTGCCCAGATTTCACTCATACATGCTCAAAATAAGAAAACAACAAAGAATAATTTCATGCTAAATATTTTATTGTAGTGTTGAAGGTTCTCTTACAACATCATTGCTCCATTGAAATGACATTAAAGGTAAATGTTTTCTACGCGGCCTGCAATAAACAAACAGATAAATGATGTCAGGGAGAAGAAAATTCAAGCCTGAAATACAAATATTTTCTGAGATTTCTGTTAGCTTTTTGGATATCTAACTGTGTTAGTGTTGAGACATTTGATGGAGAGTGACTTTAAATCACATTTGTCACAGAAATCAAGGGATAGAGGACTTTTAAGTTTTAGATGTGTAAGGTATTCATGCCTTTTGGAAGACTATGGTGATCTCTAGAGTTTCATACTTTGCTGTTGGCAGGAGATTCTTCATTTGTTCCCTATTTTCAGCCCCAAAATAAGCACGCAGAAACCATATTTTTTAAATCACTGCTTGGCCAGCAATTTAAGCATATTGCTACATACCTCATATATCCTAAATAACCCATCTACATTAAATTGTTCATCTCCACAAGGTCCTGACCTACCAGGAAGTTTCCAGTTGGGGGCTCGTTCCTTTCTCCTCTGGCAACTCCGTGGCTTCTCACTGACTCTGACTTCTTTCTTCCAGCATTCAGTTTAGTTTTCCTGCCTAGCTCTATTCTGCCCTATCTATAGGCCCAAAGAAGCTTCCTATTAACCAACGTTATTCACAACAGGCAGAGGGAATCTCACATCTTTTTTAGAATGATAAAGATTCCTTATTACTTTTGTAGTGTTGATGAACCTTTTATTTATGCAGAAAATTTCTAGAGGTTACTTGCCTCTTCATCACCGCTGGGTCCCTCTTCGCTGGGGCCCTCTTCATCACTGCCGGGTCCCTCTTCACCAGGGCCCTCTTCATCACCTGGGCCCTCCTCATCACCGCCCTCACCCTCCTCTGGTGGGCCTTCTGGTTTTTCAGGTTTAGGAGGGCGAGGTTTCTCCTCACCTCCCTCAGGGGGTGGGCGATGTGGTTTTCCAGGTTTAGGAGGACGAGGTTTCTCCTCATCTCCCTCCTGGGGTGGGCCATGTGGTTTTCCAGGTTTAGGAGGGCGAGGATGATGTGGTGGTTTCTCTGGTGGTTCTTCTTCTCCATCGCCATCCTCCTCATCTCCAGGTTCTTCCCCTTCCTCATCTTTTGGATGCTGTTGACCTTTGCCGTGGCTTTTTTGCTCTCCCTCTGTAGGGACATAGACCCATGTCAAAGAAGCTTGCTTTTCTCTTTCTGTCAGAATGCCCTTCCTTCCTAAATTTATGAGCCTGGTTCTCTTTGAAATGTATTTTTAAAATAGTTATCATAATAACTTTCTTATGGCTCAACTCTTCAGGCAAACATTTCTTCTTAAATTTGATCATTAAGGGTGAATTTATTTTCATTACAATTCCCGGACAGAAGTGATGAAACTGAAAGGATTTTTTAAATGATATTAGTTAGAATTAGGCAATGTAGCAAAATGTGACAGCAATGTTGTATTCTTAAATGTAGCATGTTGTTTTGGGTAAAATAATGCTCTGGATAATAAAAAGAAGTATAGGAAAAAGACTGAAAGTTGTTCCAATCAGTTTTCCTGCAGTGCTTTTTTGTGTATTATTTAGCTTTGGGTGCAGAGCTGGGTGAGAAAAATAAATTTTAAAAAGACGAGAAAGCCTGAGAACTGTGAAATTACATATCTATCTAGTGTGGAATCATATACTTCTAAAAGGACTCAATGGGAAAAACTCTTTGACCAAACCATAGAGTCATGGAAGATTTTAAATGAGGACAATTAATATGCTCATCATATGAAAGCCATTGCTTCCGTCTGTGGAAGAGACAAAATGTTCCTGGCATAAAAGCCTGGCTTCCCACTCTTCCAGTTGATTGCCATCTTCTAGGTCCTAGAAACAATGCAGGGGAGCTTTCCTATATATATTCAAGGTAAGCTATCACATTCTAACTTCACAAAATAATAAACTTATAGATGTAATAGCACTGTATAAATACAGAATTAAACAATGCTGAATTGGCTAATATAGGATGAATCTGGTCCTACCTAAGAGCTGAGCAGAAGCGTCTTCATTGATGATCTCTAGAAAATAAGCACAAGAGCAGTGAAAAGTTATTTACAAGATATTTCAGCTGGAAATACAAATTAATTTCAATAACATCTTCACATCCACTAAGAAGTATTTTATTTTTTGAAAGTACTATGGATACTGCTTCCAGAATCATTTCTATGATCAGGAACAACGACTATTTTGTTTATAAGTATCTCTGGCAACCTTTACTATTACTCTTAATTCTAATATTGGAATTTCAGTCTGACTAGTTCATATTCTTTATGTTTTTCTTCATGAACTTAATTTGTTATATGATATATATCCACAGGTATTTCATACATAAAGTAAGTATAATCATTGTTTTAACTACTTTGTGAAGAACAATGAATATTGCATGTGGGTCATTAAAATTGAGAAAGAGGCCCAGAAAGATATCACAGTGTGTAAAAGTGTGTCTCTTACAATTTGTATTCAGTTCATGGAATCATATGGTAGAAATGCAATTTTTTTCTGACAATATGCTGTCTTCTGACTGTAATGTGAAAAAATGTTCAACCATTCTCTCTCTCTCTGCATGAGTTTGTGTTTGTGTGTTGTCTCCCTCCTTATCCCTCACACACTCATACATGTACACACACACATACACATACAGTTCTACATGCACACACTTGCTCAAAAATAATTTAAGAAATTATTTACTGATATTTCTAGCTGATTGTATACAGTTTCAAATTTATAATATTCTTTCTTGTCCCAAAAACATCCACGAGATACCTTGCTTTATTCAGTTTTTGCTCTCATCTGTACAGAAAATTTAGCATTATTTACTATTGGCTTCTCATAACTCCTTGAGATCTGAGCTTCCCTCTATCAAATGTATCATGATTCTGTGCATCCATCATCCCCCACGAAAAAGATTATTTCACAAATGCACTCATGCAATTTTGTTGTAAAATTGGTTCATAAATTTTACTATAAGGAAAGACTAAGATACAATGCCAAATGAAAATATACATATTCTAATATGTTTTCCTAATCCTTTACTTCAGTTTCTTATTTATCGTTTTACATTTCTCCCAGCCCTGTATTTCAGTGTGTTGCCCAATTTCTATTTCACTGAAGCAATGTATACCCTACTACATACCTGCATTTGCTCTCTGAACTGAGCTCAGGGCCAACAAGGCTGCTGTGAGCAGGACCACCAGCATCTTGGAGGAGGCTTTGCAGCTGCTCCCAAGTCTGTGCTGGGAGAAGCAAGGCAAGAGTCTTTATAGGAAAGGTAGAACAAAGACACTTTTCAGGTCCTTACTGGTGACCTGACCTTTCATTTGGGACATTAGCCTAGCAGGATGTAGTGGAGAGTAGGTTGTGACTGTCTCACTTCTCAATGCTAAAACATGAAATTTGGGCAACAATGTTGATGTGATTCAGGCATTGTCATGATATTGTAAATAAGTTCTATTATTGTTTAAGCTCTAGTTTGATATGACCGTGATGCTTACCATGTTAGTTGTAATGAGGGGGAATTTGTTTCTCTGCCCTCTGTTTATTTTTGTCCCAGTTCTTCCTTTCATTCAGGCTAGAGATAGGTTTTGTCTACTTTTCAATGCAACCTCTACTCATGGTTTTCCCTACATCTTATTATGTATATAATCCAGAGATGAATGTGTTTTTCAGTTCTGCAGGGAGTTAGGACACCAAGGAGGGATGCATAGTAAGAGACAAACAAGAGTGACAGCCTGTTTGGGCACACAAAGGCTGTTCAGAATTTCCCAGGTCAGGTTTACATTAGAGAAGCTATTTTATCATAGACCTAGAAGACTTCATAGACTGTTCTTCTTCATGTTCCTCTGTGTTATAGAAAGAAAACTGTCAGTCGAGATTCCAAGTAACTGTAGGAACAGGTAAACACAAAGACATCTTCACTAGTCCTCATGAACACAGTTTCACTTGTTTTACAAAAATTGATTAGCAGATAACCAGGTGTGGTTTAACACACCTTCATCCCAGAATTTGGACTCTGAGGCAATTGAATTTCTGTGAGTTCTTGAGCAGCCATATTTACTAATGAGTTCTAGGACTTTTAAGGCTGGTACACAAAGTACCTTCTCAAAAAAGCAAAGAAAGAACAAAATGCTTAGCAGATATTTTATTTAAATGAGTCTTCAAATAATTCTACTTTTGTTTTACTCTATGAGTCTATTTTTTCTGTTGTGAGACGTACAAAACTGCATTATAATGAGTTGCCATTCATGTCCCAAGCAATATCAGTATTTCATAATTTCATAGTTTTTGTATGGGTTTAATAGAAATTTGAAGATTATGTGGATGAGGTAAAGCACAAAGGGCTACATGGATGTTAATTTAGATGATACTTCATTCACTTGAAGCACTTTGCTGTGTTGTGCATATCAGTTTGCTTGATGCTCCATTTGAAACATATGGAGATAATCTCACAAAACAAAAATACTAACGGAAAGTCCTTTCCTATAGATGAGGTGAAATTCTGTAATGTAAGGTTGTGGTTTTTCACTCCCTCAGGTGATAATAGATGTATTCTGAATGATTAGTGTATTTGCATTTGTTAGTTTATTCTGGTTCTATGAAAATCAGACACATTCTCATTGGAACCATGAAGTTGAAAGTTAACTATTGTGAATAATGCCTAAAGTTATTGACAGGATAGTTTTCTATTGTCTGCATACACAAGATGGGCAGGATTTAGAGATGAGGGATCCTGACCAGGGCTGGCCTTGGTAAACTTTTTTTCTGGGAAAGTCAGAAGAGGAGAGGAAAATGTTTGGTATACATGTTCATGTATGGGCAGCTGAGAGGTTGGCTGTTCTTGCAGAACTCTGCCTTGTCCTTATCTAGGTGAGTCCTGGAATAGAGAAGCTGATTTTGCCAAATATCAGACAACTTTGATACCTTTTTTTTTGACCTTTTTCAGTGTTAGCAACTTGTGAAAGGGATCATTGTTTCAGGCTAGAAAAAATATCACCTAGAAACTCAGTGGAAATAATAAAAACAATTTGTGGAGCAGCTGAGGAGGAACACTGTCAGTCATTAATGTCTAAGGTGGGCCAAGAAATACACAATATGCCACAGGCTCATTGAGGAACTTGCAGTGGTTGTAGCAGTTGAGGATTGGCTTTTCCATATTATACATCTGAACCTGTTCTGATTACAATCGTGGAGGATTTAAATTCATCAACTCACAAAGTTACTTCTATATCCTATTTATTACTGAACTACAGAAAATACCCACAATATAGACCAGTACATATGGAAGTTCCATTTTTAACTTGTGTAGATTCATTATTATGTTATGGGATGAGTCCAGATTGTCATCTGATTTCACTCTCAACGATTTCCTCTTTGTTCACATTCATATCACCCTTTGTAGTTTCTTTTTCAAGTCATGGTGACTATTGTGACTGACGTCAAGTGGAATAGCTTCACTGCTTTAAGTTGCATATCTATGAAAACTACGAGTGTTGAATGTTTACAAATTATTTTTTAGCTCTCTTCAATTTTTCCTATTGTGGAATGTTCATTCAGGGCTAGAAAAATGTCTTGGCTCACATCCAAGAATATAAGAGAAAAATACTTTCAATGATGTTTTTTAAATTCTATTAATTGGGAGTTTTGTAGAGTCTGAATATTAGTCTCCTGTGTGATATACAAGTGGTAACAGTTTTTATTTTACCTACTAATTTTTTATTTTGCAATGTGGGACCCTTTAATTTCATCTAATCACATTTGTCATTTGGTTCCCTCTTTTTTCCCTTTTTTTTTACTTTAAAAATAATACCATTCAAAATTCTCACTTCCTCTCCTCCTCCCATTTCCCTCCTGTTCCCTAACTCATTGTACCCCCTCCCCCTCCAGTCCTAAGAGAGAACAGGGTACCCTGTCCTGTGGGAAGTCCAAAACCCTCCCCTCTCCATCCAGGCCTAGAAAGATAAACCTCCAAATGGACTAGGATACCAAAAAGCAAGTACATGCAATAGAGACAAATCCCAGAGCCATTATCATTGGCCTCTAAGTCAGACCCGATTATCAGCCACATTCAGA